ACATCCGTCGGATACGGATGCGGATTCGGATAACGGTTTTGCTAATCGGATTCGGATACGGTTTTAATACATCCGAAACGGATATTATCCGTTTACACCCCTACTCCTCCATCCCATTGAGGGGTTTTACATTATCTTGTTCATCCCAAAATTCAAAAAGGTTGTATTTTTCGTATGTTAAAATCAGTTTGCCTCATAGTATTACTCTCTTTCTTCTCTTTTCTACGGATTACTACATTCAATACATAATAATCCCCTATCGTTTCACTACATTCTACTTCACCACTCAACCCATTTAATTAACCTATTCGACTCATTTACTCCATTTAATTACCACACCTTTTTTTTCTCTTTTCTCATTGTATGTCAAACAATGTATAGTACTCTCTCCGTTTCCTAAAACCATTCATGTTTTAACTTGGGAGAGATTTATTTTCCTTATTTGGTCTTCTAATTATATTATATGCTTATCATCATAGAAAAAGAGACAAATCATTTAAATAACTTATTATATCAATGTAAATGAATGAGAAAAACAAAAAAATAAAAGAGAAACTATTTTAAGAAATGGGAGTAATTAATCTTCTTTGGTCTCAATTTTGTTCAAGGAAAAACTGCCCAAAGTTTTCCATTTTGATCGATCCATCTATCATATCAGTCTTTTCATGCCAAGGCCAAGGAAGGATGGGAAGGGCAAGTATGATAGACTAGCTATTAAGACTATAGAATGGAGAGGACAACTAACATCACCCTCCACCACACACTCACTCCTAAAACATGAGAGAACACTTCACTCTCCTTCCACATATTAAAATTACTATTTGATTTCACGACTTTTAAAACTATATATTCCATATATATATATATATATATATACACATACATATATATATATGTGTATGTATATATGTGTGTGTATGTATATATATACATATACATATACATACATACATACATACATACATACATACATACATACATATATATGTGTGTGTGTGTGTGTGTGTGTATGAGCATCTAAAATGACACCAGTAGCACTGGTGTCATTTTAGACTTACTGTATATGTATGTGTGGCTCTGTGTGTGTGTATATATATAAATTAAAAAAATAGGGAGGTTTAGGGTTTCTTTAAAAGATAAAACAATTGTGTGTCACATATTCTTTTTATATTTATAAACAATTAACAAGTGATCAAAGGATAATATATAATATAAAAGTGTTATACGGAGTATATGAAACTATCAAAAAATAAAGTGAACATAATTTTGGACTCAAAAGTATTTATTTTTCATTCCACTTAATTAAGCTCATTTTTCCAGTCTATGTACTCCCTCTGTCCAAAAATTATCGTCATGTTTACTATTTTAGAGTTTCGATAACTTTTATTTGCGTCTTTCTTTTCATTGGTCATTAGATAAAACAAAATAAATAAGAACATGGATGCAATGAGATTTTTCTCATTGTTCGAAACCAAATGATAATTATAGGGCTAATGGAGTAGTTTAAAATTATTGAGTGTTGTATCAATTTGGGGTAAGGGTGAGGGGGGGTATGGAGACGGGAAGGGGCGACTAGATGCATGCGTGGCACTGCGGGACAGAGGGGAACACCACCTGACAGAATCTAGGATGAGATAAGGATAACTGGATTGGGTAATTAGATATTTGGCTTGAACCACATCAAGAGATTGAATTTAATCGATTACTTAATTCAATTCAAAAGCTTATATTGTACCGATTACTTTTCTATTCAACTTTCAATGTGGTATAGACTCTAACACTCTCTCTCAAGTGGACAACCGGTCCATTTTGAATCTAATCAGTTGACAATTTGCAAATCGATTGTCATCTCCTTGATTTTTTTGAGCGCCAACACCTAAAAGACCACGAGCCACTGAGTATGGACTTCCGATTACTTAATTCAACCCAAGAGCTTATATACCGATTTCTTTTCTATTCAACTTTCGAGGTGTGATATACTCTAACACCACATCTATGCGAGAACAGGATAGGCGGATTCCGCCCTCTCCCATTATTCACGTTCATTTTTGAGTTTTTTTCTTGGCTTCCTTTGTTCTCTTTCTTTCTCTCTAGCTTTTCTTCTTCTTCTTCTTCTTCTTCTTCTTCTTTTTGGTTGCTTCTTTCCTTTGTTTTTATTTTTAGTTTTAAATTAATTTTCGGTTTTTTAATTTTTTAATTTTCCATTATTTTAAATGATTTTTTTGAGTTTTTCAATTTTTAATTTCAGTTTTTAATTTTTATTTTTACTTTTGTGAAGTTTGAACTATTTAATTGTATTTAATGTTTTAAGTTTAATTAAGTTAAATTAAAAGTGTTAAAAAATACCCGTAATATTAAAAATAGAAGTGAAAGGAGATCGTTTGCCTATCCTTGGTATGAGATTCATTATCATTTGCCTATGTCCTTGGTATGAGATTCATTATCATTTGCCTATGTCCTTGGCTTGTTTCTAGTTAGTCATTAACTACGGAGTAACTAACTATAGCTTCGTGCAAGCGGATTAGGAAGGTATTGAATTGATTGTTCTTTTACTTTGTCTTTCAG